TTCCCACCTGACAGACTTGCAACATTCCCCACGGTTTTTCAGTGCATTAACCACTGTGAGATCTGCGTTTTGTTGTTCGTGCAGGCAGAACGGAAATGGATGCAGTCTCAGATCCTCTGTGTGCTTATTAGAGAACACAGATCCACCCAGATTACTTGACTTTTAGCAGCCACCTTCTGTGTAATGTATCACTGTCATGGCATTAAACTTGTTTTCATGCTTAATTAATAAATAGAATCTAACTGCCACTGCACAGCACTGGTCCATCACAGTGCTTAACTGTTGTTATCTAGGTGTGACTTAACTGGATATCTGGTGAGCTTTTACAATTTAGCAAATTGTTGCTGTTCCCACATGCTAAACAAAACCTAAAAAAATTTATGCAAATTGACCACAGAGAGTGAGATGGTAAAGAGGAGAGGGTAACAACAGAGGGAGGAAAAAGGAATTTGGGACAAGGGTGCAGGGTGGAGTACAAGACAGAGAAACAAAGGGGCGTAGGAAGATGAATGTTCCTCACCTATCCACTTGTCATTCCCATACCAGGACAGATTGCCTTTAGTGCTGTCGTAGTATCCGATCTTTTTATAGCTTCCTCCTGTGAAATACAGACAAAGAGAGAGAATGAGAGTGGAGGCTCACACTCTAATGCCTCTTAACATAATTAATGAAGATCCAGAAGTGTCTTCAACCTTACTAACAAGCCAAATATGTATAGGGACATTTGTCCTCTAAATATTTCAGTACAACAGCAAAATTATACCAGAACTGAACTCAAATTAAATGCTTGGCATTTTGTGAAATGGGCTGCCTCACTTTCCTTTTGAAGGATGTAGGCAGCTTAACATACAACAGGAGAAACATTGCATCTCGTGACTTTAAGTGGACCTTCTGGTTTAATTGGGAACTTCACAGTGCTGGATCCTGAAAACAGGATGGTCCAGTGTTGTTGACCCAATTTGTCGTGCTTTTGGACTTTCAGGTGCTGCTTATTATTAAATATCTTCTGTTTGTTTTTCTGTTTGCTTTTTATTTACATTTCCAACCTTATGCATTTGCTCAGACTTTCCAGTCTTAAGTTCTTAATTCCAGTTTGTATTAAAGTTTCGTTTTTGTTTATCTCAGTGTCTGTGTTTGGTTCTCTAGTCAGGTTTCATTTTCAGTCACTTGACTATCTCATAATGTATTTACCTGTACCTTCTTTCCCCCCACTGTGATGTATTTCACTGACTGGTCCTCAGGGTGTTTATATATATAAATATAGGTAGTTACAACCGAGGGGATCACACTACCAGAAGGCAACATTGCAGAATTAGAGGACAGCTACAAGAATCCCACAGACAAATTTGAACCATGAAGAGGCCACTAGGACAGCTGCAACCAATAAGCACCTGCAGAGAGTCAGGCAAGTCCTGAGGAGTCAGCTGAATGGTAAGAAGTTGGTGGGACAATGTCTGTGATCTGTCCCAGTATGTTCCTGTGGATTTAGGTTTGCCTTGCTTTTTGGACTTTTTGTTTGATTGAATTTGTCAGCAGCCTGAATAAACAGGCTCACCTTTGTTAAATCAAGACTGCTTTTGGGAAATAAAATCACAATTTTCTACATGGCATCAAATCTAGCATTTTGACTGTGACAAGAAGACTCTATGAACTACTGAAAATCTAGGTAAGCAAATAAGTTACAAGCTTCATGGGGACATTTTGTGTTCATTTAAATAAATCTGCTTCAATCTGTTGGTATAGATGGTGTCAGACTATATTATCCACATCCTGAATGCCAATGTGTACTTAATACAAAGATGTGACACTGATGTCCTTTTTTGAATTAGATGAAATAGACCCCTACGACAAGACCATCAAGGGAACAGTTCACCCTGCCTGGGATAGGGTTACTGGATCTCTGCCCTGGAGCCAGGCCCGGGGAGGGTGCCCGAGGGCGAGCGTCTGGTGGCCGGGCCTTAGTCCGTGCCCGAAAAAGGGACATGGGCCCATCTTCCTGCAGGCTCACCACCTGCAGGAGGCACCGCAGGAGTCTGGTACAATGTGGAGGTCCTGGTGGACCAATCCCTGGCTACCAAGTCTGGCAATTAGGACATGGAATGTCACCTCTCTGGTGGGGAAGGAGCCCGAGTTAGTGCATGAGGTTGAGAGGTACCGGCTAGATATAGTCGGTCTCACCTCAACGCATGGCTTGGGCTCTGGAACCAGCCTCCCGGAGAGGGGCTGGACTCTGTCTCAGTCCCTGGTGAGAGGCGGTGGGCTGGGGTGCGTATCTTGGTATCCCCTCAGCTTGCTGCTGGTATGTTGGGGTTTCTCCCAGTGGACGAAAGAGTTTGTTCCCTTCGCCTTTGGATCAGGGAATGGGTCCTGACCGTTGTCTGTGCTTATGCGCCGAGTGGCGGTTCAGAGCACCCAGCCTTCTTGGAGTCCCTGGGTGGGGTACTGGAGGGTGCTCCTCCTGGGGACTCTGTTGTACTACTGGGAAACTTCAATGCTCACGTGGGGAATGACAGCGACACCTGGAGGGACGTGATTGGGAGGAATGGTCTCCGGGATCTGAACCCGAGTGGTGTTTTGTTATTGGACTTCTGTGCAAATCACAGTTCGGCCATAACGAACACCATGTTCAAACATAAGAGTGTCCATAAGTGCACATGGCACCAGGACACTCTAGGCCACAGGTCGATGATCGATTTTGTAATCATATCACCAGACCTGAGGCCATATGTTTTGGACACTCGGGTAAAGACAGGGGCTGAGCTGTTAACTGATCACCACCTGGTGGTAGTTGGATCGGGTGGCGGGGGAGGACGCTGAACAGACCTGGCGTGCCCAAACATACAGTGAGGGTGTGCTGGGAAAACCTAGCAGAGGCCCCAGACTGCGAGATCTTCAACTCACACCTCCGGCAGAGCTTCAACAGCATTCCGAGGGAGACTGGGGACATTGAGTCCAAATGGACCATGTTCAGCACCTCCATTGCCGAGGTGCATTGAGCTGCGGCCGCAAGGTAGTTGGTGCCTGTCACGGTGGTCTACACCAAGCTGAAGAAGGGGTCCTACCGGGCATGGTTAGCCTGTGGGACTCCAGAAGCAGTTGATAGATACCAACAGGCCAAGAGGAATGCAGGGTGGGCGGTGGCTGAAGCAAAAACCCAGGTGTGGGAGGAGTTCGGAGAGGCCATGGAAAAAGACTTTCGGACTACCTCGAAGAGATTCTGGCAAACCGTCAGGCGACTCAGGAGGGGAAAGCGGTATTCTACCTGCACTGTGTATAGTCAAATCAAATCAAATCAAATCAAAATGTATTCCTATAGCACATAAAAATACAACAAAGTTGACCAAAGTACTTCACAGTCGGTCAGAGCAATAGCATAAGACAGAATAAAAAGAAACAGTTAAAAGGAGGGCAGGAAACAATATGACAATTGTTTGAAACAAAAACTAGCCACGAAATAACATACTAGTTTTAATCAAAAGCCAGACTAAAATAATAAGTTTTAAGACGCAATTTAAAAGACTGGATGGACTCGGAGGAACGAATATAAGGCGGGAGGTTATTCCAGAGTCTGGGAGCTACAACAGCAAAGGCCCGATCACATCTGGACTTCAGACGAGACCTCGGTTGAGTCAGGAGCATTTGATTGGACTAGTAAGTGCCTTATTACGGAAGGAGTTCGCATAGATAGCTGGTAGCCAAATTATTTAGAATTTTAAAGGTAAGCAAAAGAATTTTGAAATTGATATGATAATCAACAGGGAGCCAATGTAGATTGGCTAAAACTGGTGTGATGTGGGCATAATTTCTAGTACCAGTTAAGAGACGCACAGCTGCGTTTTGAACTAACTGGAGCCGGTGAATAGAGGAAGATGGGAGGCCCCAGTAGAGAGAATTACAGTAGTCTAATTTGGAAGTGATAAGAGCGTGAATGAGCTTTTCATGGTCCTTCAAAGGGAGGTATCGTTTTGCTTCAGATATCTAACGCAGCTGGTAGAAACTGTTTGTTTTTTGTTGTGTTTTTTACCACAGAGGATATCTGTTTCTCGAGTTTAAAAGAGCTGTCCAGAAAAACACCAAGGTTTCTAACAGTGGGTGAAAGATGGCTAGCAAGGGGCCCTAAGGCATCAGTTAGTTGTTCCAGCGGGGTGTGACTATCAAAAATTATTATTATTATTGAGCAGTTATATTTATTATTATTATTGAATTATTACTTCTGTCTTATCCTCGTTCAGTGTGAGAGAGTTACGTGATAACCAAGTTTTGACCTCATTTAGACAGTCAAATAGGGGTTGCAGGGAAGTAGAGACATCCAGTGTCAAGGGGAAATAAATTTGTATGTCGTCGGCGTAGAAGTGACAGGAAATGTTATATTTTTTTAAATATTAATCCCAATGGCAGCATGTACAAGGAAAAAAGAACTGGGCCGAGCACAGATCCTTGAGGCACACCACAGTGAATGGGGGCAGAGGCTGAGGAGTGTTGCCCCATGACTATGGAAAACAACCTCTCTGAGAGATAGGATTTGAACCAATATAAAGCTATGTTTTTAAGACCAACGACATGTTCCAGTCTTGAAATGAGAATGTTGTGGTTGACAATGTCAAAGGCAGCAGTCAGATCTAGTAAAACTAAAACCACGGAATGGCCCAAGTCCACAGTTAAAGGAAGATCATTAAAAACCCTAAGTAACGCTGTCTCAGTGCTATGGCGAGGTTTAAAGCCAGACTGAAATTTTTCATTGACACCGTTAGTATCAAGGAAGGTCTGAAGTTGTTTTAGAACCGCTTTTTCCAGAATTCTGGATATAAGGGGGGGTTTGGAGATTGGTCTGTAGTTAGTTAAAGCACTAGGGTCACGATTCTTTTTCTTTATAATGGGTCGCACGACAGCATGCTTAAATACTGACGGTACACAACCTGATGACAGTGATACATTCAGTAAAAATTGGAGGGACCAATAGTGGGCAAAGCTTCCTTAAGAAAACGAGATGGAAGGATATCATGGGGGGAATTAGAGATTTTGAGATGATCAATTATAGCTGTTAAATCAGAATAAGACAGTGGCTTGAACTGTTGAAAGACAGTCAAGCATTCAGGGACTGGAACAGGGTCAGAAACTAACAATGACTGAGATGAGAGAGATGCCCTCAGAACTAAAATTTTGTCAGTGAAATTGTTTAAAAAATTATCACAAAGTACAGGGGAGGCATCCCTATAAGTGAAGGGGCAAGGGTTTATCGAGGAATTAAAAATACTAAAAAGGGCTTGGACATTATGGCAGTTAGACCTGATAATATCAGAGAAGAAGACCGATTTATCAGCTTTAACAGACTTTTGATACCTAGATAGACCATTTTCACTCAACGCGCCGACATTCACACCTAAGGGCACGGGTAGTGTCATTAAGCCAGGGTTGGCGTAACATTTTGGCCCTTTTTGTCCTCAGAGGTGCCACCGAATTAAGAATGTCGGCACATGTAGTATTAAAAAGGTTGGCAAGTTCCTCCGCTGATAAATCCGCAATACCATTAACATCAGAAAGAGGAGAATAAAGAAAAGCAGCAGTGAAATGAGCAATTGACTGAGAGCTCATCGAGTG